TTGGAGACCCCTGCCATAGACCAGCTCACTTTCCTAGCTGGTTAACAACTTTAGTAGAGAAAAAAAATCCATGACCCAATTCAAGGAGGCCCAAACAGATCTACGCCTTTCCCAGTCTGGATTCAGACCCGGTTGTGGCTCAGGCCGTTCCGATGCATCACTTCCATCCAGATCCAGGATTAAGGCCCTCTTCGTTCTTTTGAACCTCACTAGCATCAACCATGAGAAATAAGTGATTCCGTAGGCGAGGGGTTGCTTGAGAATCCCCCAGATTTTACGGTGGCTCCAACCCAAAGGTGCTTTTTTTATTTTATTTTTTTCCTCCAAGAGGCAACTGGACTGTCTGGTTTTTTCTTTGAAGACGTTTCCCTTCTCATCCCAGAAGCTTCTTCAGCTCTGGCTGGAGGGTGGCGAACGGAAGGATTGATACTCCTTGCAGACAGCTGGTCATTTGCGTCCTTTTTGAAGAGAGTCGTTGAGGAAACCCCGGAGGTTCATCGGTGTCCTCAGGGTCACCTGAGTGGTGCAAATGGGTGTGGGGCCTTCTTGGACACCGACTCATCCCCAACAGCCTGCGCCTGTGATCCCCAGCGAAGGGTCACAAGGCAGAAAACATCCTGCAGAAAGCACACCTCCACAACGTGGTCCTTTCAGCGGTTGCAAGAAGGCTCCACGCTCAAGTGACTCTGAGGACAACGATGAACTTCCAAGTGTCCCAATGACTGTTCTGGACACGGTTGTCCTTCCTCGAAAAGAACAGGTGCACAATTTGGAAGTCTTTGGAGCTTCTGCTGGGTGTAGATAGAGGTCAAGGCTGAGGCCCAAGGGGGACCTTACTCAACTCAGGTTGATGCACCAGTTACGGTCCTTCCTGGATGGTAAAACCTTGATGAAAGGGACTTGTGTCTTTATCGCCACATATTCGGGCTACTGTGAAACGTTCTACCTGGGACTGTTTTGGAAGGCAACTGAGAAACAGCAGTCTGTTAAGCAACAACAACAACAACGCAACGGTTAGGATGGCTGAGAGCCAAGACTGCAATATGACGCCAACAGTCCAATGGCTGCAGAGATAGCCGATACGTTGCCATGTCCAAACTGCTGGTTTTGGGCCATAAACCCTAATAGAGTTCAGCTCTGGGATAGCTCCGATAGCCAACCATTCTGGCCAACCTCAGAACTAGAAAGCGGCTGAAGTTATTCATGGTCAAATCTGTTGAAAGCCAAGATGCCGGAAAGCTACATTGCCGTCAAAAGCTCACCGAAAAGCTCAAGAAAATTTTGGAATGGGCTGAAATGAGTAGATTGATATTTGAAATTAGAAAACAAGAGGAGAAACAATTTTATGAAATTTGGGATCTATTCTATCAATGGTTGGACAATAAAATACAGCAATGAAACATGTAGACTTTTAGAAAATAATAAATATAAAAAGATGTACTTTTTTTCTTATGATATCTACAAAATGATTTTAGGATAGATTTGGGATGATAATATGAACTGCTATAAAACAAACTAAGTAAATTATGATTATCTTGTAAAACATGAATGAATAAAAGCATAGTCAAATGATTGATTAATAATGATACTAAGGTATTTAATTTTTGATTGAAAATACGAGATTATATACAATGTAATTCTAATTGAAGATTACGAAATGGAAGCACAAAACAATTTGTAAACCAACTGGCACACTGTATGTATACATATGGAAGATGGCTTGATGTTTTTATGTTTTGTTTGTTTATGTCTGTTTTAAAAACCAATATTTTTTTTTTTAAAAAAAAGCTCACCGTGCCAATATGGGGAGACTTGGCTGAATGACCTTGAAAGAACCGAGGTGGTTTTTATCTCGGCAGCCGTGAACAAAGTGATCATCTCACAGGTGCTTTTTCCCAAAAGGCAACTGGACTTTGTTTTTCCTTGAAGACGTTTCGCTTCTCCTCCAAGAAGCTTCTTCGGTTCGGACTGAATGGTGGAGGATGGAAGGATTTACATTCCTTGCAGTCCTCTGGTCATTAGCACTCTTTCTGAGAGCCGTTGAGGCTACTTGGAGGTTTATCTGTGTCCTCAGAGCCACCTGAGTAGTGGAAATGGGTGTGGCGCCTTCTCGGAACTGCCGAAAGGCCTGTGTTGTAAACAGGAGATGGGCGGTGTTGTATCTCACTCCCCTGCTGAGAAAGGGCTGTTCAGTTTTAATGTGGATGGCCTCTTTGCTCCCTCTTTCAAACCAGCGGGTCCTCTCGGATCAAAGGCCACCCACATTAAAGTTGAACAGCCTTCTCTATTCAGGGCACAGATGAACCTCCGAGTGGCCTCGACGACCCTCAGAAAAAATGCCAACGACCAGGTATATGAATCCTTTCATCCTCCACCAGAACTGAAGAAGCTTCGGATGAGAAGTGAAATAAATGTCTTCAAGGAAAAACAAAGTCCACTTGCCCTTTGGGCACAACCCTGATCTGAACGACTGAGGCGAGCGAAGCGATCGCGCGCTGCACTAACACACGGCTTGAAACAAGGGTTTGGCTGCGCTTGGTTTTCCACATCCTGGAAAAGGTTGCAGAAGGGGACCGCGTGACCCCGAGACACTGCAAGCATCAAAAATACAGGCGTGTCTTGTCAGCGACTCCCTTCCCCAAAGGAAGACCGGTTTTCTGCTAGCAAAACCAACCCTGAGAGACCAAAGATGAACCACAGATCCAAGTCTCTTTATGAGCTCGCTGTTGTGGCCCCACCAGCGGCCAGCGGAGCTGGTGGTAGACTCGGACAATGAAGAGGTTGGGGAGGAACATGGGCCGGTCCTGGAGTCTGGGGAAGGCTCTGATGAGGGCTCTGTGTCAGAGGCAGAGATGGGGCCAGGGCCCTCTGACAGTTATCAGCTGCCTTCAGAGTTGGGGATCAGTGGGGAAGAAGAACAGCTGGAGCCTGTTCCCAGTGTGCACATGTGCAGAACTGCCAGAAGAAGGGAACACTAAGGAACAAGGATCGACTCGAGAGTAAAGGCTCAGGTGGATGGGGAATGGCCCCTCCCATAGGGAATAAAAGAGGAGTGAAAGGAGAATGGTGTTTGCAGGAGACAATTAGTTCAATTCCTTAGGGTGAAGATCTGTTCGTGACTCCTTCCCAAGTAATGGCTGCTGCAGAGTGGCGTTTGGAGGATATCAGCCTGGCAGCTCTCCAAGCTTGATAAGGGCCTGTAGTTGTGAAATCTCTTGAAAAGACTGTTGCCCGGGACTTTGCTAGAGAGAAATTCACTTTAGTCTAAATAAAAGGGGTTTTATTGGGACGAGGAGTCTTGCTTCGTGATCTTGGGGACGCCTAGGTCAGAACACGCACACAGTCACCTGGAGCACTGCTAAGGAGGCATAAAAACGTGGCTATCCATGGATATTTGTTATTATTCTATTCATCACATGCCATACTTTCCCCCTTATAGCTTAAAAGTTATATACAAGTAGCCCTTGACTTACAACTACAAGTCGCCCTCAACTTATAAGTTCGTTTAGTGACCGTTCAAAGTTTCAACGGCGCTGAAAAAAGTCACTTGGGACCATTTTTCACACGGATGACCTTTGCTGCATCCCCATGGTCATGTGATTTGCATTCGGAGGCTTATGAACTGACTCACCTTTATGACCGTTGCAGCATCCCGGGGTCAGGTATTGCCTTTTGCGACCTTCTGACAAGCAGTCTCAATGGGAAGTGGAGTAACTACCTGTATTCTCTTAGTGACGATTCAAAAATGATAACAGCACTGAAAAAAGTGACGGATCACTGTTTTTCACACTGACGACCGCTGCAGCATCCTCATGGACACGGGGTCAAAATTTGGATGCTTGGCAACTGGCATGTACTTATGACAGTGACAGGGTCCCAGGATCCCCCCTTTCTGATAAGGAAAGTCCAGAGTCACTTAACAACTGGGTTTACTACCTTAACAGCTTCAGTGACTTTACCTTTAACAACTGTGGCGAGAAAGGATGTGTAAAATGGGGCAAAACTCACTTAGCAACGGCCTTGCTTAGCAACGGAGATGTGTGGATGAATAATGGTGGCGAGTCAAGGGCTTCCTGTCTTTATGTGGATCTTAGGTGTTCACTGGGGGTGAGTACCTTGATTGGAAAGTCTACATCAACCAGGAGAGGTTACCCCGCTCCAAGCAACACACCTCCAATGAACGCCAAAGAGTTACAACAATGCATAAATTTCATCCGTAGAAAACTACAGAACCGATAATAAGTGGAGTAACAACAACAATAATAATAATAGAGGAGGATGAGGATGTCCACTCGTGCGCAAACTGCACTCGGTGGGCTGTTAAGAAAGACAGGGTGTGTATGTGAAAGATAAGCCCAATCTGCAAAGCAAATTAGAGGAGGGGTCCCCAACTGATGGGCCGCAGCCCACTACCCAGCCGTGGCCTAACCACCATCAGGCCGAGTGAGTGGTGAGCTGAAACGCGCATCTATGTGCATGCTTGCGGTAGTGTTGCCCCAAGCGTTTGCAGGTGGTCGTGGCCCCACTCGTGCGAGTGTCGTCAGGGGCACTCAAGGTCCCTATCAGCTTTGGAAGCCTTATTGAGATCCGATGCTCCCACACTGCCACAATTCAGCCTGGGAAAGTCGGAGGGGGAAATGTATTGGGAGTAATTCTAGTTAGACACAACAACATTCTTTTTCTGCTTCAAGGTCAGGTTGTGTTGCACCTAAGTGAGAGGAAGTCTTAACGTGGGACGGATGGTGATTGGGCCATGTGATGTGATGAGGGGTGCAGGGGGATGGATTTTGTAGTTTTTACTTATTGTAAGGAAGCCCGGAACTTTCAGATTCATGATGCCACAGTTGTGCCAGTTTACTATCCAAATAAAAGGAAACTTTTCAGAGATGTCTGTCCCGGTGGAATGGCGGTGAGCTGGAACGCCGACATTCCCACTCACATGAGCTTCGTCAAGGGCAGTCATGGCTCCACTCATGTGGAGACTCGTTGCGGTCGGGCGTGGCCCCACGCGAGTGAGGGTTGCCACGAATATCGTGTGCCTGCCCCTCCCACAAAATCAACCCCCCCACCGTTTCCCATCTCCCTCCCTCCCCTCTGGGCTGCCAACCCGGAAACGTTGACCTAAGAGAAATGCAGAAAGAAGACCTTCCCAGACTACTGGACTTCACTTCTCAGAATTCCCCAGACAGCAACGCTAAAGTTGCCATTGCAAAAAAAACACTCTTGCTGTTAAAGAGATCAAAGCATCCTTACCCTCCACCAACGCCCCGTAAAATGGTAAACACACGCCAGTTTCTGGGTGCTAAAATTTTGATCACATGACTGTGGGGACCCTGCGACGGTGGCTCAGTGAGAATTAACAGCACCACCGCAATTTTGAATGGTCGCTAAACAGACAGTTGTAAGTCGAGGATCACCACCCCCCGGTATCCCCTTGTCCCTCCCGGAGCAGCTGCGCCATTACCTGGTTATAGGGGTAGAAGAGAGTGCAGATGGCACAGTAGGGCTCTCTCAGGGCAGCGGCAGCGTTGAATCGCCTTTCGGCTGCAAAGTTGGGCACTTTGTTTTTCCACTGGAGGGAAAGTAAAGACTTCAGGGGCTCCGGATCCCCGGCGTCTTCCTCGCTGCTGAAGAGGGGAGTTTCTGAAAGACAAGAGGGGCCGAAGAGGAGAGGAAGCTCACATCTCCCCGAAGAAGCTGAAACGGTGAACATCGAATACGGAAGTCTGGGCTTTTATGGGCTTCCTGCAGATACCCCTTGAGTTTCTTCCCCTGATTCCTAAAGGGGGCTCAGAACAGAACAGAAGGACAGCAACAGCACTTGTATTTATATACTGCTTTACGGTGCTTTTACAGCCCGCTCTAAGCGGTTTACAGCGTCAGCCTCTTGCCCCTCAGCAACCGGGGTCCTCGTTTTACCCACCTCGGAAGGACGGAAGGCTGAGTCGACCTTGAGCCTGGAGAGGTTCGAACTGCCAAATTGCAGGCAGCCGGCAGTCAGCAGAAGCAGCCTGCAGTACTGCACTCTAACCACACCATGGTTAGAGCCACACCATGGCTCTTAATATAGTTAGAAGGCATCTTGGACCAGTTTCCCTCCATTGCTTCTTGTCCTGCCTTCAGGGGCTTTGGAGAATAGCTTGACTCCCTCTTCTTTGGGGCAGCCCCTCCTCAAATATTGGAAGACTGTTGTCATGTCACCCCTAGCCCTTCTCTTCATTAAACCAGACGTACCCAATTCCAGCAACCGTGCTTTGTATGTTTTACCCTCCAGTCGCCTCATCATCTTGGTTGCTCTTCTCTACACTCTTTCTAGAGTTTTGACATCTTTTTTTTGTATTGTGGTGACCAAAAGTGGATGTAGTAGTCCAAGGGTGGAATAAAAAAAGAGAAGTTTGTGGCTTTCTTGTGAAATTGAGCAACTTAATACGGTTACCCTCTTTTGGATTGCTTCCTGTTCGGTTCAGGAAACAGCCAATAAAAGATTTATGCTTTAGTTTTCAATGTGTTAAGCTGCCGAGTGTCACATTTGGTGAGATAGGTGGCATACAAGTTTGATGAGAAAGAAAGAAAGAAAGAAAGAAAGAAAGAAAGAAAGAAAGAAAGAAAGAAAGAAAGAAAGAAAGAAAGAAAGAAAGAAGGAAGGAAGGAAGGAAGGAAGGAAGGAAGGAAGGAAGGAAGGAA